GTCATTTTGCACCTGTATGAGCTCAGCTCCAATACAAGTATCACTGGCGTCCGTGTCTAAAATAAATAAACCATCACTGTCTGGAAAGCTCAGCACGGGGCTATGGACCAAAGCCTGTTTCAAGTCATTGAATGCAACTTCGTGTTCACTAGTCCAATTAAAAACACTTTTGTTTTTGGTCAAATCATACAGTATACCAGACATGGCAGCAAAACATTTTATGTGACTTCTATGGTAATTAACTAGACCAAGAAATCTTTCCACGTCTTTCTTACATTTTGGACGTGGCCAACGTTGAACTGCTTTTATACTGTCAGGATTTGGAGCAATGCCATTCTCATCTACCAATTTACCCAAATAGAGAACACTCCTTCTGAGTAATGAACACTTGGATGATTTTAATTTCAATCCATTTTCTTTGAATCTATCTAACACCAGTGCAATATTGGCTATAGAATCATCAAAACTGTTCCCAAGCACAACAACATCATCCAAGTAAGCGAGTACTTGTCTCCACGTTAAACCATGCAGAACAGAGTTGACTGCTCGCATGAAAGTAGCAGGGCTGTTAGTCAAACCAAACGGTAGTCTCTTAATCTCAAATAAACCGTGCTTGGTCATAAAAGCGGTTTTAGGCCGGGAGCTTTCCTCAACTTCAACCTGATAGTAAGCACAGTTCATATCAAGATTGCTGAAATACCGAGTGCCCGCTAAAACATCTAAGCATTCGTCTATCTGTGGTAGTGGATACACATCCTTAAGGATCACTTTATTTAAAGCACGAAAATCTATGCAATATCTCAAAGTGCCGTCCTTCTTTCTCACTAAAACAGGAGGGGACGCCCATTCGGAACAAGAGGGTTGCACAATGTCAGCGGCTAACAATTTATCTAATGTTGCCTTTTCCTCTTGCTCGAAACCCAGAGGTGTGCGTCTCAGTCTCTGTTTAACAGGTTTTGCTTCGTTGGTATCGATTCTATGTTTAATCTTTGTAAAATGACCGATATCAAATTCAGATTTGGAAAAAACATCGACATATTTTGTCAAAAGATTGCCT